CAGCGCAATAAAACAAGCTTTATTCATTTTGAAAACCCGAAAAATAAAAATGGAATCAAGAAACCTTTAAATTCCTTTATTGACCGTGAAAATTCACCGAACAACTCTACAATTCAGCCTGATCTCTTGCCCTCCGGTTATGCTACTCATCTTGATCATGGACTTCACAAAAGCATTCTCAAATTCTTCCTGGGAGCTTGCATATTTTGCAACCAATGCTCTTGTTCTTTTATCGGTGACTAAAGCTTGATCCGAAGAGAAGATGCTCCTCCCTTGAAGAAGCAACTTGTAGTACATGTTGTCAAATTTAAAGTTGGTGGAATCCAAGGAGGTTCCGGCGTTCCTCACGTTGTTGTTCACAGGACATATGCTCCTTAAATTTGAGGCGAGGGATGGGTTCAATGTGGGGTCAACGTCAAATGTGGCATTGAAACTGTGGATTCTGTTCTGGAATGAGGAGCAATGAGCGAACCCAAGAGTATGACCTCCTGTAACACAACAAAAACAATTATTCTAAGACTTATAAGTCAGCACTCCTCGCTTGAATCTTTCATAATTAAAGATAATTTTGGGGCTAGAGACTCTAAAAAGTTGAGGTAATTTTAGGCCTGAGTCACGTTATATCCCAACTTTATATTAGTTTCTATAATTTGCTATGTAATTATTTTAATAAATTATAAATTGTCCAAAGAGAAAAGGATAACCAGTTCAAGTAATGCCAATTTGGACATTGTAAGCCCATGATTAGGTCGGCCTACTTTCATGTTGAGTGGGACTTGGAGCAGAACCCATCATGGGGTTGACGTTGTGCCATTTTAGATTGACAAACCTTTTTCCCTTGTAATTGTAACTTGTTCCATTTAAGAAATCTCAAGGGATATTGTATGTATATGTATATACCTGACAGAGCTACTAAATCTTCTAAAGAGAGGCCTCTTTGGGAGAAACTTTGTTGTAGCTGAGATATGTTGAATACTGGCGCTGGAAGCTGTCTGGTGTCAATTGCCTGTGAAATTCTTCCATCTTTCCTTCCTTTGGGTACTTCCCAAGTAGGTCCGCCAGACTAATTAATCAAAATAATCGAGTCAGAATAATCTAATTAAAGCATTAAAGCATATATTATACAATTAACATGTGAAATTACTGACAAGAACAACTGCATCTCTAGCAGCCAAAGCAAGGATATCAGCACAAGAAACAACGCCTGGACACAGGGCTTCCACCGCTGTTTTGGCATGGTCAATAACATAAAATGCATGTAAGGAAATGTTGGGAGGTCCGTCTTTCTCTGCTCGGTTGTTCCCTTTTGAGTTTAGCAGCACAGAAGCATCACAACCCTGTAACACAGAACAGAACAAACACAACGTACGTTAATCTGAATAAATTTTCCTTAGAAAACACCAAATTAGACTGTGAATGGGAAAGTTTGTGTACCCTGATAAAGCAATCATGAAAATGCATTCGAAGTAGTGCAGCTGCTACTGTTCTATCATTCTGCAAGGCTTTCTGGACGGTAGAAGTGACTGTTTGCTCAAGTTGGGGGCATGTTTGGTCGTAGTAATTTGAGCTCAGGGCACTAACAGAAGAGGAAAGGGGAAAGAAAAGAAAGGCAAAAGCCAGAGCAATAATGGGTGCCATGGCTGAATCAAATGAAACCTTGTTTGATGGATTGAGGAAGGGGGAAGGAGGGGAATTTATAAGAACGGGGAAGTGGGAGAACTTTGGAGTTGTTATGATGGATAATAGTTGTTAACAAATTTGGTGATCAAAAACTTAATTAGTGGAGTGGTGTTGAAGCAATCTCTCACAAGGAGACAAACTCTTGTCCCAATTGAAGTTTTTGATTCCCCTTTGTTAAAAAACATATGTTTGTTTCTGTTTTGCTTTCGGTTATTTTACTCAGCATCATGCATACAGATATTAAATGAATAGAATCTTCCAAATTGCACCTTAATCTTATAAAACTTGCATTTTGAAATTTTGTTGGTAGATATTTTGGAAATTTTTTAAGTTTGAATTTCCTTATAAGGCTAAAAGAGGCAAAGGGAAATTCTAATACACTTTTTTTTCTTTTCTAGTATAATTCATTCATTTGCCTAATGCTAAGGCAATTACCTTCTTATAAATGATATTTGGTATAGTGGTTTAAAACTAACAATTAACAATTTTATCTAATACAATAAATAAGAGTATTTGAATTATTAATAATAATAATTAACTCTCTTCCCTACGTTTTAAACCATTATAGAGTTTAATCTAATAAAGTTTGCATTTTGAACTTATGTTGGTACAGCAAATTTTTTCCAAAGGTTGGTAGAGAAATTTTTTTTTTTTTGGCCAGGTTGGTAGGGCAATATGGTTTTGGTATATTGGACCTAGTAGTTCAAATGTACAATGGTTAATGATACATTAAGATTATGAAAAATTTCAAATTCAAGTTTTCCAACTATTTCCTATTGATAGTTGGTCGCAAATCAGCCCTTGAGATAAGCATTAAAAATAGGCAAAATATGAGTTTAAAGATGTACCAATAAGCTGAATTGAACCTTTATGCTCAAGTTATAATTTCAAACTTTGAGAGGGATTAGAAAAGAAAATGGTTATTCCTGTTGCAATCTGTTTGACTCCCTTTCCCATTGAAAAATTGCCATAGTTTTAAGCCAAAAAAAAAAAAAAAAGGGTTAAACCCTAAATTTGGTCATTAACTATTATATTTACTTTTGAATTGGTTTTTAAACTAAAAAACCCTTTATTTGATATCTAAAATTTTTAAATTTAACTTTAAATTAATCCTTCTATATAAAAACAGTTAATGTATCAAATTACTAACATGATATATAGTTATTAAATAATGATTTTTTATCGTTAAGAAACGAATATGTCAATTAATAAATATGTCAAATTTTTTTAATAAAAAAATTAATTTGAATTTAAATTTAAAAATTTTTAAAAACAAATTAAAAAATTATTTTAGGACCCATTTTAAAGTTTTTTTTATTATTTGAAATTTCAATTTGGGGATTTAACAAAAAATAAATAAATTAGTGTCTGGGACTGATTGGATAAGGGAATCATAATGGGCCTACAGCAAAGCAGAGTTGGTGGTGAGAGGTTGAACAAATAGTAGAATCATTTTTTTATATTAAAAGGCTAGCTCAAAAGAGCTCACATTATTTCAAGTTTCAACAACCCCTATGCGAGAATCGTTATCATTAGACTAGTGCCTCGATTAATAACAGAATCAGATTTCGATTATGGCTGCCCAACAGCAGTTTAGTTTCTTTTTTTCACAATTGTCAAAAGTTGATCTTTCTGCTCAACTCTCCATATTGTGCCAAATATTCAGTTGAAATTTATACGCTATCGGTTTAATTCAAGTAGTTTTAATTTATTTTATTTTTTTAATTTTTTAAATAAAAATTAATAATTTATATCAGTAATAACTAAAAGTTTTCTTTGACTTATATAAAGCTTTTATTAAATATTTTTATTTAATAAAAAATTTAATTATTAATTTATATAATAAATTATATTTTTATTTAAAATTTTAATTAAAACTATTAAACATAAACAAAAAGAATATAAAATAAAATAAAAAATTATTTTACAATTTGTACAAAACAAATTACAAATATTTCAGTATTATCAATCAATAATCGAGCTCAACAATCTTAAACTATTATATTTGCAGTTTGTGCAAAACAAAATGTAAAAACCAACCACAAAACAAAAACCCAGAAAAAAATGGTATAAACTGAACAAGTATCGCCTACTTTGCACAATGCACGTTTCCGATCGAATTTCAAACAATCCTTCTCGTACCTTTAAAGAAACATTAAGAACCCTATTTCAAACAATTTTTAATTTGTTTCTTGAATATTAGCAGCACTGAAAATTTAGTTATAAAGACAAAACATTTGTATTACAAACTTCGCAAGGCCCCAATGCAGTACAATACTGTGAGGTAAAGAAAAAACACTAAAAGTTTAGAGTGGTTAATAAGTTAGGAACAATTAGAATCAAAAACTGAAAATAATAATTTTACAAATAGCCCTAAGTTCTCAATCCCATAAAACTCGAAATACATTTGGTCAAATCTAACATGAAAAAAATAATTGGTAAAAATGTAAAATCATCATCAATGACCTATTGGTCCTAATTTTTTTCTCTTATAAAGTGACTTGATTTTAAGTTAAATGAAATTAAATGTAATTTTTAAATATTCAAAGTTTAATTAAAAAGAAAATGTATAAAACTATTATTTTTGAAACATTTACATAAATACAGTAACAAAACACAACATAATTTTAAAATTAATCAATTTAAAATTACCTAAAATCTCATATATATCTTACAACTCACACACGGAGTCCACGTAAGACAACTGCCCTACAATCGGCTAAAACCACCATTTAGATGCACACAAGGTCAAAGAAAATATGGAAATTTACATTATAGGCACAGGAAAAATTCACTCCAATAAATAATATTGAAACCCCACCAACCACTTTTTTATTTTTCGTTTTCCTCCCCTTAATTGTAATAAATTGCCTATTAAATTAAAAAAAAAAAGTCGAAGAAAATATTGGGTTCCATTCATTCTTACGGTCATGGGCTTTAATCTTTAACCCACCCCATATTAAACAGTAGCATAACGTTGCAACCTGGACTGTTGTATTTGCTACCTTTCTTCCACAACTATTCGGCCCAGAGGCCCGGCTTGAATGATGTAAGGTGAGGGTTGGCACAATTTTTATATTACCGATCTATTCAAATTTCCAACACAAAATTTTGAATTTTAGTTTGGATACTTTGAATATTTACTCATTTCCGTATTGATATGGTTATTGATTTATATTCAAAATTATTAATATAAGGTATTAAATTATTTGAAAATTTTTGTATTAAATAATTCTCTTTTTTTTTTTTTTTTTTAGAATTCTTCTTTTATGGTCAAATTTATAGACAAAAATCTTAAACAAAACATTAAAAATAATTAAAATAAAAAGAGTTAATTTTTATTTACCAATAGTGGAGAATAATGATACATTAATATTAGTATATAAAAATTTTGGTTATTTTAGTTGATTAATTGAATTATCTAAATAATTTTAATTATTCAAAATTATAACTGAATTAAATATTTAATTTGGGTTTGGTACGGAAGCCTCATTCGAAAATTTTTTAAACAACCAAAACTTGGTTCAGTTCCAACAATGCAAATTGTATGCCCAGCCCTATTGAACAATGTGTTATGATGGGTTGTTTCTGACCTTCAAAAATTTTTTTTTTTTTGATAAATTACAACTTTTTTAGGAGGAGGGATTCACACCCAATCCAAAGATTAAAGGGTGCAACATTTGACATGAATTATAACCATTTGGCCTAGAAGACAAGTTGCGGGACCTTCAACCCTATTAAATTCATAAATTAGGTATGTTTGGTTTGAGGATATTGCCCCTCCCTTCTACCCTCAAACCAAGCATATCATTAGATTTTTTCTAATAGCACCTGGTTATAGGTACAAATTATGGAAAATACAAAAATGTCTATATACCATTTTATTACCTTCAAATGATACAACAGTTAGATAATAACATTTACTTTTACAAAGCATAAAATTTGGTAAATTAAAATCTACAAATCCTGAAACTGCCAATTTTCTGCGCTTCTTATTGATCCTAACATTTTCAATACTAACCAGATTTTGTATATCTTCGCCCTTTTCCAGCTCAAGAAACAGTACAAAAGTGTTCTCTCCAGCAGCCTTGAGTTCAAGGGTTCAGTCCCATGATCTTAAGTCCTAACCAAAATTAGAGAAAACCACCTGATTTTGGAAAATCTGAACTTAACATTGCATACGGCGGGCAGCTCTACAAAATAACAAGCACGCCTCTGCCAGTTCAAATTTGAAATCCGGAACCCTGAACCTTTAAGCTGATAGAGTAGCAACTTTTAGAATTGTGTTTTGCTGGAGTAGGTCTGGCCGAATGCCCAATTTGCCGGGGCTACGTCCAGGAAATCCCGAGTCTCTCCATCGGTGGTGGTAACTCTGAAGGACAAAGATTGGCCATTGAGATAGGCATTGGATTGCCAGTTTGCTCCCCAGTTTCTTGACATCACCATCCAGCTTGTTTTAGAGCCCTTGATGGATACAGATTGGATAGAACCAGCATTAGCCACATTGCTAATCAAAACAAGCTCAAAATAGGCTCTTCCATTGATGGTGAATCTTACTCCACCATCCTTGTTGCATGGAACCCTGTACCAAAATCCCCACAAAAACTCGAAACATTACACACCAAGATTAATAAATGCTTAGCATTTATCAAACACATTTTTAATCCATGTCAGACTTTTGATCCTTAATTTAACATGAAATATATGACCCTAGCTGAATTTGTACACATTTACTTCAAAACCTTATTCCAAGGATCAATGTAATATAGATAAATTGTACATACCTTTGGTACATAACGGGGATGATTCCCCCTCTGTAAATCCCAATTTTTTCCCAGGCAGGCTGAGCCATGTCAAAGTGCTGGAGGGGAGGATTGCACCAGCCGCCAGCGTTATTGGGAAGAGCATAGTTTGGAGGGCAGAAGTTTGTGCCGGTGATGGTAACGGAACTTCCTTTAATGCACCATCTCGAGTCTGTTTCATAATCACACATGATCTTGTAGCATTGCCCGCATGAAGCTCCATCATTGAACAGTGCAGTACTCAAAGCTGCAGTGCTGGTTCCATACCCAGTTGAATACAAGTTGCCATACCCACAAGCTCCCCCTGTTTGGCAGTCAAGAATTCCCATTAACATTAACGATGAATTTGACAAAAACCCATTAATTAAGAAGAAGAGATGAAACAAAGAAACAAAGAAACAAAGAATTTGAAACATACCCATTGTTCCTGAGGCGTCACTACCTCCATAGAAAGTGGCATGAGCTTTAGTCCATCCAGAAGCAGTAAATGCTTTGACACTGATAGCAAAAAAACAAAATTCAAGAAAGATTGCTAAGGCAAACTTAGACATTTTCTTTTAATTTCTTAGAAGCAAAACAAGGAGGAAGAAGGAGAGGAAGATGATGAGGAAGTAAAATGTAATTACATTCAGTGGCATTTCTCCGAACAGGAGGTGGGTGTTTATATAGAGAACCGAGCCCTTCAATGCAACAACCTCACATGTGATCCGTGTGGACAGAGAGGAACTGAAAACCGAAAAAATATTTCCTTTTTAAAAAAAATTTTAAAAACATTGAATTATCCCTGCAAAGTACAAACAAAGACTGAAAGATTTCAGAGCCTCATTCAATTATTCCCACGTTCTCCCTTCTTCCTCACCCCACATGGCTTCTCTACACAGAGAAGCCGTGAATGGATCAGAAACCACGACCCAAATTGTTGTTTTTTACACTATTTTAATGGGGTTTACCTGTTTCCATATTAGGATAAAACGACATCTTGTTGCATGGGATATAGTATAACTCTGCTTAGATCACAGAACAAAAGCCCACATGGGGTTTTTATTTTTGATCCATAAGGAACAATGGCATCGTGATTTTAGGTAATGGCGTAATGCACATGAGTACATATGACTTTTGGTGCTGTTGAATGTTTTGACTCATTGTCTGTAATATGTTGATACAAAGGGTTATGTCCGTGACGAAATATCCCCATCACATCCGTTGGTTTGGATCACATTTACTCCACTGTTGGGTCCAAAACATTCACTGACAAGGGCACATTACCCAATTTTGAGTAATTTTGAATTTGTCTGTGGCCAAAATTAATTTTGTCTGTTTGGTCAAGCAAATCACTGCTTACAAATTAAAAATCATTTCCTGGGATCTACCGTTTTGTTTGCCCATGTGAGGATGGTACTACGGTCAAGGAAAGCCACCGGTGACTGGAATGTGGATATGGAGAGGATTGATGTGTATGATATTATGAAAATAATTTAAACCCGAAAATTCTATGGGCGATTGGATGCACAACTGGCCATGAATAATCAACGGTGTGAAGAATGAATGGAGGAATTGGCAATCATTTGAAGTCTTCTCAATTTTTGTAATATTGTTTACACATTCACAGGAGAAAAGGTGAATGATTTCATTTAAAATCTAGGATCTAGATACAGGTAGGGAATGCGAATTCCACAAGGGGATGGATATAATAAAGCTGGCTAAATGATTGGGTTTATATCATGTAAAGGACAACTAGGGAAGTCAGATAAATGTGGGGTTATCACACTATACAACGTGGATGATCCATGATTGGGATATGAATGTGGCATGAGGAAGCCCCCTATGTCACTATGTGATCATGATTACATTTAGAATTCCTGTGTAGATGCCGAACAAGACCATGTGATAAATTATCAATACCAAAATTCGGTATCAGTATACGGTCAAAAGCAAAAAGCACAGAGAGGGCAACACGCAACATCAATCAATAGCAGATCCACAGAAGCTTAAAATTAGATATTACCCTTAATAGAGAATTTGGATATGAGTTAGCTTTCCGAAGAAGAAGCAATGGCTAACAGAGAATCACGTGTCTGCAGGGTGAAACTCTAAGTTCATGTCATTAAAAATCATCATCATCATCATCATCATCATCATCTGTACTATGCTTTGCAAGTTCTTCTTGCTGTTGCCTTTCTCCCCCTTTTTCTGCACTTTCTTTCTCCTTGTGTGGATTTGGTGGAAAACGCAAGGCACGAACTGCTTCATTGTGCATGTTGAGACACAAAGCAGTCCTGGAGTTGAAGGCAAGTTGAGGCATGTTTGTAGAATAAATATCTCTGGTCTCTTTTGATACCATCCAGCTATTTGCGTGATCCAATGTGGCATCAACTGCACCATCGTGGATGGTGTCATAACTCAAATTTTGTGTGGTCGTCAACAGATGGCCTTTGCTACAATGCTTTCAGCATCAGCTACTGGGCTTGCAGAGTTCAGTCTCAACTTCTGAGCAACATCTGCAAGCGAAATGCAAGAGTGAGAGATACCGATGTTGCGCAACCCACTCCTGATGACATTGTGTCGCAGTCGGACAATCAGATTGTGGGTTCTGTTCGTGCTGAAAGTGCTATGCAACTTCTCAGCAACAGTTCTGAAGAGCTCCAGGTCACCAATCTGAACAGCCTGAAAATTGAACCAAGAAGTTATGTGCTTTTGTTCCAAAATCCAAAGAATATTGCTTTTTTCAGCACAGTAATCAAGCCCAAGAAGTGTAATCCATATTTTGTATACCATGTGCTACTTGCAAATTAACAAATCTGGTTTGATAAATTAACTATCATTTATTCACGCAAAATAAATAAGTAACTCACATTTGCAAGTTCAAAGTATGGCCACAAAGCCTTCACCATTCCTTTCTGCATAAATATTGTCCTCTCAAGTATTTCTCCCAAAAGCAAACGGACTATTACAGCCCACTTGTTACATTGAATTTGGAAGCCCCTTGTGGCAAAAGGGGCTTTGCTAGCAGCCTGCAGCAGACTCTCCTTCGCATCTGTATACTCTTAACTGAATAGCCCGAATCTTACCTAGGTAGAAAAGATACCTACAAAACTGCAGCTCAAAATATTTGATATCAGCCATGCACATGTTCAGTCCTGCGTAAACTTCAAAGTAGTGAAGGATAAATATAAACCTCAAGGTTATGAGCCATGACAATCTACAATGGCAAACCTTCTACCTCCAGACACCCCTAATGATGAGGTTACATGCTGCCTTGCAAACAAGCAATAACAGCTTACAGGCATAAAGAGTACAGTTGCAAAACATAACCTCTCCAAACATCTAACGATTAACATTAGTGGAGACATGAGGTAATCTTCCTTGGTAGATAAGTTAAATAAACAATATATCAAGACATAATATCTAGTCCATAAAACAGGTTACTTTCTTTTTCCTATCGGAGGGACCACAATCTGAAAGGTACAAGAAACCAATCCTCTACCTGCTGGTTTGAGTGAGCTTCAAAGTGTGGTGCCTTAGACCTCAGCTTCTCTGCCTGATCATACAGATTGTAGTGGATGTAATTGTGCAGCAACAAGTTCAGAAGTGTTTCTTGCATGTTATTCCATTATATCATGGGACCTGAAATCCAGAATATAAAACAATGAACCTCTGAATTATATGATGACACACACACCTGATTGAGTTCATCAAGGCACAATGTAGCAATAGGATGCAAGGCAAGGAGGGTGCTGAAAATAAAAATGAAACAAAACAATAGATAATTTGGTACTCTTAATTAGCTACAACTTCTAGTTCATGCTATTATGAGCCAAGTTGAGAAATTTTCCCAACTATAAAGCACACAAATAACAAACAGATAGGATTGCACACGCAAACACACACATAATCAGGAGGATCATGGATGAAAACAACAGGCTGTGAAATGCTTATTGCTTACCCACGAATTTCAGCAAGGTCACCTGTGAGCTCATAGCTATATGAGTAATACAAGTGAGTCTAGATGCTAGAATATCAAGAGTTCTTCTGTTTAGGTTCTTGAGCTGATCAATATATACTTGCTGAGGAACAAGCTTTAGCCTGAAGAAGAATAATAAACAAACAATTAGCAGGAGTAGGGCCCCTAAGGAGAAAACACCTGAATAAACAGCACCAAATCGAACCTCATTTTGTCTTTTCTGATCAATCGGAAAAAGAAGAACAAGCAAATAGCAGTATATCTCAAGCTCTGGCAATGGATGCTTTGATGGAGTTTGAGCAGCAGATGTTGCAGATTCAACTTCCCTCTCATGTTGATCTTCCTACAGACATTAGTAATGTTTATAAATGTGACATAAAATAGAAACAAAAATTTTTTAAGAGTAGAAATCAAAGAGGCTAGTAGTTTGTGCAAGGGCCCCTCTAACATGCAACAATATACCACTTAAACCCTGTCATTGCCCCTGTAATATGCTATCTATGTTCCCCTTGAGGATTTTACGCTTTCAAAACTTTATGTAAGGGATCCATCAAATACACAACATTTCAAAGTCTGCATATCGATAAAGTCACAACCCAAGACAATGATGCCTGAAAGAACAAGTGCATCATTGAACATCCTATCAAATTTCCTCAACCTATTAACTTATTCTAGGAAAAACTTCTTTTGGTAAAGAGGGAATCTAATCCAAACCAGGAAATAGTCCCCCTTGTCATGTTGGTAAGACAAAATACAGTTATCCATACACCAAGGGAAGCAGAGATAACCAACTGTAAATCATAGCACGGCAAACTCGTCTTAAATTCTACATGGTCTATCGAGAATGAAGTATTCAGCAAACAAGAAAATCATGACATTTGACCACTTTATCATCATCGGTCTAATTTTAATCCTTAGAAACATTTTCTCATGTTTAAAGAAACACTAAAAGCCAACAAAAACTTCTTACATTGTGAAGCTAGCAATACACCCACAAGATGATCCAAACTCCGCTAACCCTGAAGAACCTTGGTACCCATTATTCACACACTTATATACATATACAGTCTATCAAAACATATGTATAAATTAACAACCAATTTTGAAAATCACCTAGGAGCCAAAGGCTCATTAATTCACCTTTGGGAGACAAGTAAACAACTCGTAATGAGAATCAGAACCTGGAAGCAGTGCAGAATTGAGGAACGCTGAGAGCACAGACGCAGTTAGCTTCCGCCTCAACCCAAACGTGAGGCGAACAGCACGAACAATACGGAAGACCTCCTTTGAGCATGAACCAGTCTCGATAAGAGACGCAATTTCTTTCAAATCTACACACATTTCACCAACGCCAAAAAAAAAAAAAAAATTCACGACAGAATCAGAATGACTACAAAAATAAGAAGCTATGCTCTGGAATTGAGCATTACAATGCAAAGTGGATGGAACGGCTGAAGAAACGGAATGCGAAGGAGTTTGGTGATCTTTCATCTCCACGTCTTTCGTCATCGAGCAGAAATTCAACCTAGAAATTCCATTCGATTAATGCTACTTACAAATTTGGAGCAGAGGATTAGGTTTGAAGCTGCAGTCAGCTCCGTGGTTGGGTGGGTATGCGTACGTAGCTAACAGAGAGTATAGCTATTCTCCCTCACTTCAAACCTGGAAGGAGGAGATTCTCAGCTTTTTCTTTCGAAAAGGTTTAAGTACCATTTTGGTCCCTCAACGTTTTACTTTAGCGCCAAAATTGTCCCTTAACTTTAAAAAGTATTAAATTTATCCTTAAATTTTCAATTTTTGTACCAAAACAGTCCTTCCGTCAGTTAAATGACAGGTGACACGTTAACTTGTCAGCATTCTTTTTTTTTGCTTAACTAATGACATGGAAAAAAAAAGTATAATTGGTCATTTTTTTTATGAGTTGGTATTTCATTTAATTTAAAAATAATAATTTCTTTTTTTTTTCACCCACGTCAAATTTCTTCTTCCTCTTTCGTTTTCTCTCTCCTTTACCTTTCCTTTCGCTTACCTCTGCAAACCCAGTCCTATGTTATCTCTCAAACTTCATCTTCTTCTTATTCTCTCTCTCTTTCTTCTTTCTTCTTCCTTTCTCAAACCGAGATATGGGCTTCATCACATAAATTAACAATCTGATGAAATTGATGATAATAATAAAAAATATATACAAATCATTCTATTATATTAAACAAGGCACATCTATGAACCTATCATCTTCGAACCTATCATTTGCTACAGACTTATCATTCCACCCCTCTTCTCTATCTTAGACAGCAACCTAGCAAGAGTAAAGCACTTCACTCATACAATAAATGAACAATCGAATGAAACGAGCATAATTTATAATTAGTAGTTGAGAAACAAAATTCCCTAATCCAGGAAAAAAAATAATGCATGGTTTGTGATAGACACTAACTAAAGCTTCAAATGCAAAAAACTAGTAAGATTCAGTCAATCAATTGACACTATCAATAAAAACACATATCATAAACAGGAAGAGTAGAAGAAATTATAAGTTAGATAAAAACATTTACAAGTAGAGAATGAGCAAGAACTAGATGACATACCAGATGGAGCAGAACTAAAGCCTTTTTTGTTATCAAAACCGCCAGAACAGTTCTCGATGCGAGGACGCTTGGTGTTAGCAAGAGCAGATGTAGCGATGAGGCGAGCCACGATCTCCTGAGCACGTTGCTTAGCCATCTCGATGCCATCGAAAGGCAACAAAATGCTTTGTAAGAGCAAGGCATCGAATCTAGAGATGAGAAGCCGGTGGTCCTCCTTCCATTGGACAACGGAGGGTCTAGTCTGTTACAATATAATGCTGAAATGGGTTTTTTGCTTTGGTGTCAATTTCTTTGCTTAGCTGTCAATTTCTGGTTTACGTGTCTTCAAGATAAATTGCAGGATTAGTTTATAATTTGACAGAGTCTAAGTTTGTTATTGAGTCTTAACTTAGTGGAGTATGGTTCCTTATTTTTAGAGATAAGATTAGTTTCCTTTTTTGCAGATCGTGGAGTCATTGAGTCCTTGTTTTGTGCAATCTGTTGCTCTACATTTTCTATTTAAATGGGCACAGATCAGTTGAATAAATATCTTCAATTCAGTTCATCTTTTCTGTTGCACACCAAGTGTTTGATTAATTGCCTCATAGAAATTTCATTTACTTTAACCCCTATTTTTATCATCTGGTATCAGAGCCAGGTTCCTCTTTCAATTGCCTTTCGTCCTTAAATTGCCTTCAAAAGAAATGGCCACAAACAACAATTTGGGAAGTGTTTCGCAGCCAACCATTCCACTCTTTAAGGGAAGTGGATATGAAATCTGGAGTACTAAA